TAATTTCATGATTGATGAAAAAACAGTGAGTTTTAGTAAAGCAGCGTTGGTCAGCGGTGCTGTAAGCATCAATACGTGTCCTGCAGCCTGATAGCACGCTGCATCAATCCTGTGAAGTGTCTTAGACCACAAGAAGGAATTATAGAGCAAAAGAAACCATGTTCTATTCATCACCAATGCTGAGAAAAATATGAAAACATCAAGGATCAATTTACAAAAATCACTTCTAATATTTCTGCGCGAAACAAAAATCACTGAAGAATAAAGAGCTGTTGCTTCTGCAGTTCTCTTATTATGCCACAAGAGTGAGCTTTACCATTTCTTATACTATATGTGCAGCCAATCTGCTACATGAAAATGTGGAATTATAAAAGAAATAAAATTATACTAAAAATGTTTCTTCCAAAATAAATCCTGTACATCATTTTGTTCCATATCTTGGGTCCCAACTTGTTTCCCAGGAAAAGATCTGCTACTGCATATTAAAGAATAAAGCCAATTAATAGACTTACATTGCAAATAACTGTGTTCAAGGATTTATTTCATAATTTTCTATTCAACTCATTTAAGTATTCCTCATTTATGTTGGCAGCAGAGAGTATACTTAATTATGTAAGCTAATAAACAGTGAAAGATTATAATGTTTTTATCCCACTTCTAGATTTTTGGAGGTGTTCTAGCAGAGTGTGGAGAAAGGAGGTGTATTATTCAGAACAGATACAGAACTGACCTCTTTCTAAGTCAGTAATTTTAGAATTATACTTGACTTATGGAGGAAGGGAGGGGAGAGAGAAAATTCGGAATTTCAAGCTTTTTCTCTACAGTGTTAAATATACTTACTTATTTGCACTAGCATAACATAAGTAAGCACGAAGTATAGAGAGGAGAATCATAGCCACTGTTTCAGACAAATCCTTATCTCATAAATTGTCACTTCCTTGTGAAAATACTGCAAGACTCCAGTTTACAGAACTAGTCTTCAAACTAGACAGACATTCCTACAGAACGTGCCCTGAAAGACAGACTGCTGAGGAGGAACTGGGAGTGAAAAAGGAAGATGCAAACAGGAGGCAAAGGGCTGCAGATGTGAGCTGTGTGAGCCTGTGTCTTCATATTAGGTGAATGGAAGTAAAACTGTAGGTCTTTGCAGTATGTTTTAACATCAAATACACATAAATCCCCTGCAAAACTTGGTCTCTTCTGTGATAAGCTATAAGATATCAAAGACATTTTGATATATTTTCTTTGAAAAAAGAACTACTGTTGACATCAACTTTTATAATGATTGGGCAAATTAATGGTGGAACCAACTCAAAATTTGGCCAGTTGCAGAGTAGGAAAAGTAGTAAAAAGAAAAAAGCATAAAGGAAACCACCCACCCAGACTAAAAATGTCAAGGAACTCATCTGGAAAACACAGAAGAGACAACCGTCTCCAACAGTCTTGAAGTGATGGACAGTTGGAAGAACCACTCCAAGAAGATACCACTCAGTACCTTCACTTTCAGTAGGAAAAGGATTTCAACAGATTTGAAGTGTTCTTGGCTCACTGTGGGTGAGGAACAACAAGCTCTGGATAGACTGGCACATGGACTGCTTGGCAGGTGGGATGGCATCACTGCCTCTCTGCTTGTCTTTAGAGCCCACTGTTATCAGACAATTACAGTGATGAATGAACAAGGGAAGACAGCATGACTCCAGCAACCACAGCCTTTCTTTTCACCAGTCTTGTCAGTTTGCACATGCTTTCAGCCCCATGTGTTCTCCTGGACAAATCTCCCATTCCACTCCCTGCAACTATAAGCCAAAACACTCCAATGGCTTCTATTCCGGGAATGATGCTGAGCCCTCTCTCTTCATCACTCCAAAGCCCACTGTTCATCATTCAGAAGGAAGCAATGAGTCCCACTCTTTACCAAGCACACTGTGGGGTCCCCAAATCCAGCTGCCTTCAAATGTATTTTTCTCAGATATCGAAAATAATATGGCTACTTAACAATTTCCTGCTCCCAGCCACTACGTAGAATGCAAGTAGAAAACTTTTAGGGCTTCCGTACTGAGATCTTATTCTGGGGGTTGGAGTAAAGTTCTCAGATCAGTGAGCTGGTCTCCCAGTTGGTACAAGAGACTGTGTCAGGGCTGTGCAACTGGCACCAGGAGTAAGAAGGGAATCAGAAGTCTCTCTCTATTCACTGGCAGACAGTTGACAGATTGCCCTAATCTATCTCAAGATGCCACAGCTTCAGCTAAACTTCCTCTGGCCCTGGTCTCCAGAATGCTATTGCTGGAGAGAAAAGGACAGCAGATTCCCAGTTTAGATAGATTTTTTACAAGGATTACTGAAATTCTTTTCAAGGTTGTCTGCAGCTGCTAAGCAGAGATAGCCAAGAATAGCATATGCTGCCCCCTAAGAGCATCACAGTTTACTGAGTGCTAGCATTAACTGGAGCATTATATGTTAACTGGTACATGTACTCAGAAAAATTGTCCATCTTAGATCTACATAAACCTAAAGCTTTTTTTCTCATATCCATACCCAAGCTCTGGGAATAAACAGTGTTTTTCTTAAGACATATTTGCTGCAATTAGATTTAGTTTCATTCAGTAGTTTTATATATTAAAAAAAATAAATAAAATGATTTTTCTGATTAATCCGTCCTTTGCATATTTTATATATGAAATACAAAAATAGAGTAAAATAGTAAATGAATAAAAAATACATTAAAATTCATAAACTACTACAATTCCTTTTACTTCTCTTTAATGCATCCCCAGCTAATCAAGCACAACAGTGGCAAATTTCCAGTGTAGGCCTCAGAGATGCAGGGTTTTTTTTCTCTGCAGAAAGAAAAAATACTATAAACCGGAGGATTCTTGCATAGGCAGGAGAAAGTAGAGAATAAATTGAGTTTCTCTCCTCCCAGCACCCTCATGGACCTTGAAATTGCCATTCCGCATGCACCAAAAAAAGCTCTCTATCTGATGAATCACATCACATACACCCCTGCATTCATTTTGAAGCTTGTGGTGTTTAGGAGAGGGAGACTGCCTAAGCAAAAACCTTCCCAGAATTCAAACAGTCTTCTGTATCTACCTGAAAATTCATACTTCATCTTCAAAGATCTGAGAAAAAGCTCCAAGTTCCAATGTGCACTGTTAGGTTATTCATTTGCATTTTCAATATGAATATAAGTAACTCAATTCTGCAGAAAGGCTGTTTAAAAAAAAAAAAAAAAAAAGACCTTAAGGAGATTATACTTTGCCACCTTCAAGTTTTTAATAACAGTGTTATTATAAAGTGAAACGTTCTGAAATTTGAAATTTGCATGGCTATGTCAGAAAGAATCAAAGTTCAAGCTGAAATACGCAACCAATTCAAAACAGAATATTTAATTAGGATCTTTGACCCCCTGTTTCTTATTTCTGAAAATCTGTAGAAATCTCCCACAGACAAAGGTTCCTATCAACCTTTCTCTATCCTCAGGGATGAATAGTATAGACAATAGCCTGAAAACAAATATGAAAGATGAAGGTCTGACAGTAAGTCCTCAAATGCCAACAACACCAATTATATATACATATGTGTGTAAATTCTAGAAATAACATTAGTTCAAAGTCCAGTATGTTGTTCCTACAGCAGCATGTGACCCACACAGTTAAATGTCTGTTAAGATACTGAGAGCATAGCATATATATTTAAGTTATGGTACACATTTCGGATTTAAGGATTATTTGCTGATTCGCAGCGGTCCATGCAAACTCATTTCCTCTCACTGTGTGTTACTCTTACATTTTGACTCGGGTTCCAAATCTATGGCATGCAATGGGTGTTCAACAACAGTATTTACTGAGAAAAAAATAAAGGGTGAGAAACACAAAGCAGCGTAAGACAGGTGATTAATTCCCATAGACGAAAAGTCTCTGAGGGAACATGACCAGACTCATCCATTTATAGTACCCTAACCAGGAGCTTCATCTGCAATGAAACAAGTCAGTGTGCGGCTATTTCTTTTACAATGATGAACTGCCTGTTCCATTAAACCTCTAAGTGCATGCAACAAGCCAAACTGGTAATTACACAACCACTTTCTGCCCTTGGACCCCTTTTGGAGACTAACAAGATAAACTGTGAATATGAATCTTGTGTTCTGAATCTTCTTTTCTGATTCAGAACATTTCCCAGCTGAGGGAGAAGAAACAGTGTATGTTTTTCATTGCAGGCTTAACAGTACATGGGAAGCCAAAGCATGGAACCCCATGGTGCGGCCTCACATTCATGATTTGTTGGGGGCTTCTAATTGATCTCTGATGGATCCTATGTCATGTCCATGAGTCAGCACTGTGGCTTCTCCAAAGTAAAGAAAGATTTAGGGTATACTAAACTGGTTTGATCAGTATTCCATATGACGAAAATTGGGGCATAAAATCAAGATTTCTATTAAGAATTTCACCCAACGAATCTTCCTTGCACACCAGAACCAGTGCATTTGGAAAAAGCCTGATTTGTTATATTTTGTGTAGCCACACCAGCTAATGAACCAGACTGCATGGAACTGCTTCAGTTCTCCCACAGGAAGCCTGGGTGCCATCTTAAGCCCACGAGAGCCTTCTGCAAGGAACTGTGGATTGCAGAGAGCACGCGCTCCTCACACCATTTTGCAGCAGCCATGCTGCAGTACTGCAACAGGACATTGCTGCACTTCTTGCCTCTCACACAGAGCCCTGAAGTTGCTGCGTTCAACACAGAAACCTCCTTCTAATGGTAACGCGGGCGATTATTTGCTCGAGAATCATGAGACGAACTTGAAGATAAAACTATTGCTTCTAGCAATAACAATAATAATAGCGAATCGGCTTCTGTGTGCTCAGAAAGGCACCATCCCGCCCGACCGCCGAGCTGCCCACAAACACAGAGTCCCCACACAGCAGCGCCGGGCGGTGCTTAAGGCGTGCCGCTGTCAGGGCCCGCCCCCCTCCGCCGCCGTGACGGGAGGGCGGCTTCCGGGCGCCGAGTTGGAAAACTGTCGGAAGTGGAGGTGGTGGCGGTCCGCTGAGGCCGTCATGACGCAGTCGGTGGTGGTCCAGGGTAAGGGGCTGTGAAGCGCGGAGCTTTCCCGCCGCCCCCGGCCCTGCCTGAGCCTTGTCTCTCCTCTTTGCAGTGGGCCAGTGCGGGAACCAGGTGGGCTGCCGCTTCTGGGACCTGGCGTTGCGGGAGCACGCGGCCGTTAACAAGGTAACGCCGCCCGAGTGGCGCCCGCTGCCTGTTACCTGCTCCGGTCTGGTCAGCTTTCTCGAGGCTTTCCGCCTGGAGGAGCGCAGACTGAGTCCCTGAAGGCCTTCATTACCAGAGTTAACTCGCCACCTGGTGCCCTGGCAGTATAGCAAACAAAGCAGCCGTGCTTTGGAGGAAGTTTTTCACACAGAGGGTGGTGACGCACTGGAACAGGTTGCCCAAGGAGGCTGTGGATGCCCCATCCCTGGAGGCATTCAAGGCCAGGCTGGATGTGGCTCTGGGCAGCCTGGTCTGGTGGTTGGTGACCCTGCACATAGCAGGGGGTTGAAACTAGATGATCATTATGGTCCTTTTCAACCCAGGCCATTCAATGATAAGCCCATCTTTCCTACCCCATGCTCATGCATGCAGTGCAGTCAGGGTCACTGTGCTGTAAAGAGGGCACAGGATTATGCTAAGTGCTTTCAACAAAAATGCATCCTTCTTGGTATAATTATAGAAATACTGCTGCTAGCAGATACCTTCAGTTAACAGAGGTGATAGTGGGCAGTCCTGAACGCCTTTTACTGAAGTAGCTGTAAAAAGGTAACAGGTGGAGTTCCTGTGTGTATTGAGAGTCTCTTAGTTTATGTGTTACAGATTTTTCAAACACTGTATCATCAGGTCTTCAGAAAAAAAAAAAAAAAAAAAATGTGACTGTGTATTAAGTTGACAAATATCTTTAGCTTTATGCTGGGAAAAGTGATTTGCCCAGCAGCCCTCAGCAGAGAGTTCAGAAATTACCAATGGAGCAGTCTGCTTTCACTTCTACAGAGCATGGTGGGCGTGACTGTCTCCATGTCCCATCACTAAGCTGAATTAGCTAAACAGCAGCTTTGTGATTTAATAGTTTCATTGGGATCTTCAGTAAAATCCGAAATATTTAAAAATGAAGTAAAAGTATTTGTTTAATCCTCTGCTGAAAAAAGAAAGAGAAATCCTGGTTACATCCTCCCGACAGTTTTTAATATCAACTGACACTTGAGTGAAATTCAACAAAGCTGCAACGGGGGTGTTCAGGTTGGAGATCAGGAAAACATTCCTCACCAGAGGGTGGTCAGGCACTGGCACAGACTGCGGGGCATTGGCCATGGCACCAAGCTTGCCAGAGTTCAAGAAGTGTCTGGACAATGCTCTTGAACATAGGATTTGAACTTTGGGTGGTCTTGTGTAAAGCTAGGATTTGAACTGTATGGTCTCTGATGGTCTCTTCCAACTCAGGATATTCTTGGGTTCTATGAAATTTTCTTTTTAATGCTGTCTGGAGCTATCTGGATTGGACATAGATGGCTCACCCTGTTTGGAGAGTGGGAAGTTTGGCTGGTGACCTCTAGGAATTCACTGTAACCTAAGTTATTCTGTGAAAAAGCACTGAGTACTTCTGACACACCATCTTATCTTAAATTGTCTATTTCCAGAAAGGAATTTATGATGAAGCACTGAGCAGTTTCTTTAGGAATGTAGATACAAGGTAAGTCTTCTTATCAGGAAACTGTGGATTTAACACAGCAGATTAACAATGCTAGCATCTCATCTTAACCTAAATTAAAACTCCTTTCTTTCACACCAGATGTAGTTTGCATTAGAAAAAGATTCTGCTTTTTTGTCTTCTCAAGGCATTACCTTTTCATTATATTTATTGCAGTAGTTAAATGTATTGCAGGTGTTTGGTTTTGCTTTCCTTTCCTTACATCGGAAAAAATGGATAGTTAAGATCTTTTGCTCAGGATGAGTCTGCAAGCTGTCTGAATACTAACTTAGCAGCATTCACTGAAGACTTGTAAATGGAATTATTTATAAGGTGGTCAGAAACGGCTGTGCCAATTTTTAAATCTATTTTATCTGACTTTTATCTGTAATTTGCTGCACAGAGCGGTGGCTGTGATTTAAGTTGCCCAGTTCATACCTTAGGAGCATTTCATTGTATGTCTGTCCAGTTACCAAAGCTCTTCCAGTTTGCTGATAAGAACGGAACAATTGGACACCTAGGTATTATTGTTACATTCCAATTAGAAAAAAGGCATTAGACCAGCCTTTGTTTCCTTCCATTACACAGCAGAAGCACAGCATGCCATTTTAACTAAAATGGCATTGAAGTAGTGTTTTATCTCAATTCTTTTCTTAGAAGAGTATTTGCTTAGAAATTTTCTTAGAATATATATATTTTTTTTAATCCAGAAGATCTAGTTGTAAGCAATGTCTGTGTTTTTATATGTGCCAGATGGAACCACTGAACTTTCAACAGGTTGAGTGCAATTTCTCTGTAAAGGAGAAGGATTTACCTTGTTGAGCCCTGTAGAAGTCTCAAGCAAGGTTCCCCTGTGAGATTTCATCTTTTGTGATGATTCCCATGTAAAAGGAACACTCCCTGCTTTTGACTGTAGTATTACTACAACTTAAGGAAAAAGAAATTCAAACTCTGTGGCAAATAGCAATGTTTTGGTCTTCTATTGTGAGTTTTGATTTAGTTTTATCAAAAAGAAATACTTCACTTCCCATGTCACTGCAGTCATAAAACCCCGTGTTAGAAAAATGACAAATTTCAGTTTTCTATGCTACATTATACCACTTCTCTGAGTAATTAATGTGGGTGGATTATCATGTAAGGAAAGTCTGTAAAAACACTGGCAGATCTAGATAGACTCGCTCTTTTTTTACTGATACTTATTAAATGGTGTAGGATTGGAAGTGGCTTTATGTAAATTCTCTGATTTGTGACTTGTCTACAGAGCATTTTACCACTAGTACTGAAATAATGAGGGATCTGAACATCTGCACTCCTAACTCTGCTGTCGACTGCAGTAGGAAGATGCTTTGGTTGCCAGTGAACTGCACAATGGAAAGAAAGTTTTATTTGTTTATTTTTCAAGTAAAAAATGTGTTTTCATCTGGGATAGAATTACTGCCTGAAATCACTTATTTTCACACTTCAGTCACTATATTACAAATTCTTTTGCCCTTCCTTTTCCTTTCCCAGGGAATACAAATCACAGCTGGCAACTGAAGCTATTGGAATATATTGTGGAGGGATGTGGTTTTTGAGTTTAAAAGCTTTTTGGTTCAGTCTGCAAAAGTTCATCAACATTATGATTGCTCATCTCGTGGTTCAAGAACACACACCTTCTACAGTAGAGGCTGCTGCTGGTATTCATTTTCTAGAAACCAGATGTCAGAGTATTCAGCAAAGAGAACAGCCTTCTGTATTCGTGTCAGCAATGGCAAGAAGATTGGCTGTATAAGATGGCTGTATAACAATAGCTATTAGAAGCATCTTAGATCAGGCAAAATAATTACCCAGAAATATAGTGAACGTATGAGATAACAACATGTGCTCATGGGCTGATTGTATAACACAGTTTTCATGTTTGAGTGTTGTAGTGGTAAATTGAGGCACCCAAACATTATTAAATATAGAAGATGATGTCTTACTCCAAAGATCATGTGTATTTTATTCAGTCAGCAAGAACTAGTGGTTATAGGATGAGCTCAATAAAAAATGTATGGCTTTATATGCAGAAAAGATGTCTTAGATAATCCAGGGAGACTGTAAGGAATGCAGGGATTTTTGTGAGCAGCTGAATGCGAGTGATTGAAAGTACAGGCGGTCATGAAAGACCACAAAGACTGGTAAGAGAGAGATAAAGGTGGGCTTTTCTTGCTGTTGTTTATTTTCTCTCCAGGTTTTGTTAATCCCTGAAGAGAAATAGAACTTACTCTGACTGTGGACTCGTGCATTGAAACTCATAGGCTGGAGTAATCAGTGTGAGTCCTGTAGGCTGCTGTGAGCCGCTCAGCTAAGGAGAAGTGTTTGGAAAACTGCTTTGGGTGAGAGCATAGGAGCTCCCTGGGGAATCCCTTGCAGGCCCGTCCTCCCTTTTTTCACTTGTTTGTGATGGGAATGAGCACAGTCAAAACATTTAGTGCTTTCCACTGTTGTTTTAGAATGTTATTGCTATTGAGTGTAGAACACGGTAAGACGTACTTTGATTTGTTTAAACCTAAGGCTGATTGCCCCCTAAACTAGGTGGATTGAACCATCTTCTAGTATCCTTTTTCTTTTCTGTTTCATGTTTGTTTTGGGGTTTTTTTTGTTTTTTTTTTTTTTTGTTTGTTTTGTTTGTTTTTGTTTTTGTTTTTTTTACAGCCTTGAATGCAGTTGGACCAGAATAGACTATCTCATCGTTTGAGTGCAAAGCACCAGCATTCATTATGGGGAAGAAATATGATTTTATGCAATGCACAGCCCTGTGGGCTGATTCAGTGCAACCAATCCTGGAAAAAAGGCTGATAAAGCCTGTGTCAACACAGCGTGGTTTCTGAGTTAGTAGATCTTAGTGGCAAAATAAGTCAAGCACAGCTCTGTCCTAGTGCAATTGTACTGCTTTCAAGCCTGGAGCAGTAGAACAGTGCTGTGCTTCCCCCATTGAAAGTGTAGCAGTGTTATCTGGTGCAGTGTGTTCTGCTATGTGATGTAATGTACCACATGCTAGGAAAAAGGTTGTTGCTTTCAGTTTTGGCAGTGCTTGTAGAATTAGAGCAGAGGCTCTATGGGAGAGGAAACTTTCCGTGCTTTCCTCTTTCATTCTCCTGAAGTACTGCTTAGGATATTTCTCATTGAGATTGTATTCTGTAACTGTGTTCTTTGAGGAAAATATGAGGCATGTTGTAGCAGGTTACATTTCAGGGTGTTTGTTACTCTGAACAATAAAAAATTAAGGAGGGAATTATATTCCAATATATTATTGCCTTATTTTCTGTTACAGTTCTAAACTTGGAATGTTGTTTTTGTTTTTCAGAAGTGCTGGTAATGGTCCTGATATTTACAAAGGAAAAATTTGTTCTTTAAAAGCACGAGTAAGGCAATTTATGAAGACTATTATTTTTACACCACTTATTTATGTCTGATTGCATAAGGATTTTCCTAATACTTCGTATGTTTTTAAGTATTTTGAATAGCAAAATTTCTAATAGTAACTTAATGGTTTGGGGGAGTTTTGCTTGTTTTTTAAAGTACAATTTTAATAAAACAATTGCAGATGGTACCAATTATTTATTTAAAAAAAAAAAAAAAAAAAAACTAAGGGATGTGGGTTTTTTTGAGCCACTTAAAGTGATTAAGAAAGAACAAAACCTGAAATGTACCTGTTTTAATTCCTTTGCTCCCAAGTATTTGGGAAAAGTATTTTTACAATGTTAACAGTTGCAGTATCTGAAATGCTGTGCAATTTATGGATTAGCTAACAAAGCAGTCAGGGTGAACTTGACAAGTTGGTTAGCAGCAACTCTCTGAAGCACAACAGTAACAACGTACCTTTACTATTGTAGATGATTTTCCTTATTTTGTAATTATTTCAAAGATCAGCTTGCTTACTGACTGAATTTCAATGCTTTTCTTTCTCACAGGCACTGCTGATTGACATGGAGGAGGGTGTGGTGAATGAAATTCTGCAGGGACCGTTGAGAGATGTTTTTGATAGTAAGCAGCTTATCACAGATGTTTCTGGTTCAGGAAACAACTGGTGAGATCCTCTTCAGAGCAACTAATTGGATAGCTTTTGAAAAGGGGAATGATAACGGTAGCATTCTGGTTCATTCTGCTGCAGCATATTACCAGTGAACTTTGGAGTCACTGTCACCTGGAGGAGGGCTTTGAAAACCATTTTACAGAAAGATAATTCTGCTGATAAATCATTTTGTCTGCTTTTTTTTTGTGTGTTTTTTTTTTTTTTTTTTTTTTTTTTGCTGCTGCTTCTTGATTACTTTTTACAGAAGAACAGGTTTTATATTTTTGTTTCTTTGAAATTCAGCTGCTTCCATTTCTCTGTTAGAGCCATAATCTAGTTTGGGACTGTGCACCTACCATGGAAATAAGACGTTCAGATTTCTAAGCATTGTGGTTGCTGGCATAGTGCAGATAAATTATATTATCAAAAAGAGAAATTCAGAAGAAGATTCATTAACATAATAAATTTCACATTTTCACTGATATGCTAATGTACCTCTGGTAATATTCAGTCCAGCACAGGCTGAGAATCAAATGATTTACAGATATACTGAAGGTATATTGGGAATAGGCTCACCACCTAACAGCAGGCAAGTGTGATGAGAATGGTCAGTTTGGTTTCTTTGTCACTGGTAGCAAATAACTCACCTAGAACTCAAATGAAGATCAGATCACTATTATACAAGGATGTCCTCACTGATAACGGATGTAACTTTCAGATCATAGTTAAAATTTGATCATTCAGCATGGATATTTATTTTCTTACTATGTGAAACAGTAATGCAGGATCAAAAGCTGTGAACTGATTGCTACTTGCATTCTCAAATTTAAAAGCACATCTCAACTCCCATGTTTCTGTGATGTAGTCAAGTTTTGCAGCTAACAAGTTGGGGGTTACATCCAGCTCTGGACTCTGAATTATTAAGCAATACTATACAAAACATCAAAGAGAGGGAGTTAAATAAAATGAAAACTGGAAGATTGGTTGTTACAGTGTTTTATTGTGTTTTTTTTTTTTTTTTAAAGTACTTTTCTTATCCTCAGGGCTGTAGGTTACAAGGTGTATGGCTGCCAGTACCGGGAGAACATCGTGGAAAAGCTGAGGAAAACTGCAGAGCACTGTGACTGTCTGCAGTGTTTTTTTATAATTCATTCTATGGGAGGTGGTAAGTATATCTTTCTTTGTTAGTATGGTTGCATCTGCCACAGGTAAATAAAAATGAAAGCCTAAGTCTTGAAACAAAGATTGCTGTAATCATCTAATCATGAAGAGTATGAAATAACACAGTCCCTGAGGAGCCCTAATCATGAACTTTTACTTTACTAAGTGCTACCTAGAAGTACAGCTTAAATCTTAGAGACAAGAAAAGACAGTGGATGGATCAAGATAGGTGGCGAATACAAGAAAAAGCTGAGTAATACTGATCAGAAGGGGTAGCTGCCTCAAAACAGTGACATCATTGTAGTGATCAAGTTTTTAATTGTGGGGAAGTGTTTTCAGAAAGGTTTTGTAGACTTCTGATGTTGCTTAGCTTCTGTTCTACTTTAGTTTTGTTGTTTTTGGTTTGTTTGGTTTTTTTACATTTCCTTCCACACAATTCTTTTTGCATTCACTTCACCTATTTTGTTAATAAATCTGAAGGGAGAATCAGTCACGTCCTTTCTGTGTTGCCACTGAGCAATCCTCTCCCAGAAACTTGAGGGTAGCAGGTATTATAAGCAGCTATGATATGGAAATAGACTCTGAAAATAGCTCTAAATATGGTGCAAGAGTTTTACCAAAGGCCTTTTTTATGGTCATTTGCTTAATTTGAGAAGGAATTTCCATTATTACAGAAAATAGCTGTGTTGTTCATTGTCTGCTGCTGAAAATGTTAACTGTATGTGACAGGGAAAAAAAAAAGCAACCTAATTCTCTGATTTGAACTTAATGCTATGAGGAAAAGAGTATTTGTACTGGGGCAAAGGGGTTATTGTTTTAACTGTTTTAACTGGAGAACAAGAGAGTTTTATAAAAAAAAAATCCTCAAAAAAAGTAAATTTAAATAATTTGGATTGGCTCAATATTTTTTTTAAACAAATATTTCAAGATTCAAATTAAAGATTTTAAAATGCTAAGAAAGAGCAGAGAAATTCTGGTGACACATTAGGACTCGTTGAGCAAATGCTTAAGACTATTCACTTCATCCTGTCTAATAAAATATGAGAAATATCATTTAGTTATTTACTTGTCTTTGAAAAAGCTTGCTTCTTTCTTTCATTCAGATAGCTCCTGCTGCCTTCAAAATGCTGGAATATACATAAAATTAAAAACTAGTATGTTTCCAACATATGAGACTTAATGCTTGTAAGAACTTGGAGGATTTCTTTAATCTTCCTTCATTCCATCGTCGTTCCTACTTATTTTTAGGGACAGGATCTGGTCTTGGAACTTTTGTACTGAATTTGCTTGAGGATGAATTCCCAGAAGTGTATAGATTTGTTACTTCAGTTTATCCCTCCGGTGAAGATGATGTTATTACTTCTCCATATAACAGTGTTCTGGCTATGAAGGAGCTTAATGAACATGCAGACTGTGTGCTACCAATAGAGAATGAAGTAAGAAATAGCATACTATTTCTGTCCTTTTCTTTCTTATTAGATTGCATTGATTTGAATGCCAAGTCTTAAAAAGAGAGTGTTTGTTTATTTAATCATAATTGAGCTCCTTGGTAACTTGCAGACTTTTGAAGTGAAATCACTTAAAAGATGCTCTATACTTTGTTTCCATGTGCAAAGTAGTCTGGAGTGATTTTTCTTTTTGTGTCTTATTCAAAGGTAAAAAGTGAGATGCTCTTGCTTACTGAGGCTGAGCCTCAAATCTTTTAGCATCGTTTTGTGTGTAGTATTGTTTAAGTGCTTACAAGAGGAATGACTAATGATTTCAAATTCAAACTGACTTCAGTTTGAAGTCAAAGTTCTGAGTCAAACTATCCGTGTATGTGACAAGGAAGGAAAGGATGTTCAGGAACACTTCAGCCAGTTGGAACTGGTCAAAAGTTGAACATGTTTGAATCAAAGTTGTAATGTTTGAACTGTCATTACCATATCTTAGTTTTTTTTCTTTAAGATTAACTGAAGTGGAAAAATAGGAGTATGGAATTTGGATGTTCTGGGGATGAGGTTTGTATGCTTTCTGTTATTTTTTTTTGTCCGTGTTTCTTTTTCCTTTCAAAGTCTCTGTTTGATATAGTTACTAAAATTCATCAGATGGTCAGTTCTGGGAAGGTGGGGTCAACTGTGAAGCCAAACAGCTTGGTAACATCAAGTGCAAGTACTACAAAAACTGTGCAGAAGCCATTTGATGCAATGAACAACATTGTAGCCAACTTGCTGCTGAACCTGACAAGGTAAAGTCACAGATCACTCCTCTGTACAAGTAATATTGCTAGAGGCAGTGTGTGCTGCAAATAGGTGTGCCTGCATCAACTCAGTATTGTTTTCTATTTGATATTAGTCTTGTTAAGAATTAGTTCTTAAAGTAATGAAAATCTGAAGTGTTTGAAACTATTCGTATTGCAGTGGTGTTGCTGTAGCTGTGATGGTCTTAGAACTGAAGTAGGAGAAGGTTTTGGGGCAGGATATTGTCTTCCTTTAGTGCCTAATAGTGCCCAAGGAAGTTAGAATTTCTAGGCCAATGTTATTATTTTATAAATACCATTTGACAGTTGTTCCTAAACTGTCTATTGCTGTAAGGAATTCTTGCTGAAAAAGCATGTTTAAAGCTGTGGTCTGAACAGCTTTTCAGGGCTGCTAAGTCATACGTGTTTCATTATGTACTATCCTATTTATTTAAATTGGTATCAACCAGTTATGTCTGCACATTACAGAAGAATGCTAAGAACTACAATCAGGAACATTAAGGTCTCATTTTTGATCATTAGTTGTTCTACAATGAAAAGTGTAAAGAAATAAGAATAGCAGTGTTACTGCCAAATGTGGAAGTTTAATAATTATAGATAACTGTTTTATCTATAGATATTGTTTTACTGTTTTATTGCAGGGAACAGTTGAAGTGTATATTTAATGAATGTTTACATTATAAAAGTGACATTCTCAGTTTATAACTATTTTGTAACATCTGTTAACTTTTCAGCTCTGCTAGGTTCGAAGGTTCCCTTAACATGGATCTTAATGAAATCAGTATGAATTTGGTTCCATTTCCTCGGCTTCATTACTTGGTTTCAAGTTTGACTCCTCTGTATACACTGGCTGATGTTAATATACCCTCTAGAAGGTAAGAAGAAAACTTTGTTGTGGAGACTTTACAGTGAAGCTTAATTTCTTAATTTCCTCCATAGTTTCCATTCAACAAAAATAAAAAAAAAAAAAGAATTCTATAGCAAAACTAAAGGCAGAAGTCCAAAAGGGTTTTAAAGCCTGCCACACTGGAAAATTCATCCTACTCATTTGGAGAACACTATTTGTCCCTGTTCTCATTAATGGCTGAGCCAGCAGACTTAAAATGTTCTTACTATGTCTATTGGGAAACAATTCTGCTGGGAGCCACGTATTTCTAGATATTAAATAGAACCCACACCATTAAGTTATTTTGATTTTGCTGTCCTTATGTGGTCCGAGATTAAATGTACCTTTATTTCCAAGATTTCAGGAAATTTGAAACCCTGAAGGGTGGGTATTTTGAACTTCTGTAGCCTGCTTTAATAGAGTAGATAACTGTTTTCATCTTCACCTAGGTTGGATCAAATGTTTTCAGATGCTTTTAGTAGAGATCATCAATTAATTCAAGCAGATCCAAAGCATAGCCTCTACCTTGCTTGTGCACTTCTTGTTCGAGGGAATGTGCAGATCTCAGACCTTCGCAGAAACATTGAAAGGTTTGTAATAGCACACAAAGTAATCGTGTTATTTTTCATATAAATATTTTTCAGTTGTCCAGGGAATTCTCAGTTTTTCATCTGAGGAATTTCAGTACCAATTAAGTACTTTTTGTAATGTAAAGTAATTGAAGAAAGATAGAAAGAAAGAAAATGTAAATAGCTTTCTTAACAAGTTAGTGCAAGTCGTGGCGTTCTTTGATTTCCAAATAAAGGGAGCTGACTAGGTGTGCCTGTTCTCCTCCCCTCCATTCTTTATAATTTAAAAAGATGAAGGCTTCCAGAGGTCTCCTGCTGCTATGGGATTTTGAAGGAATAGGCTCTCTGCTGTAGTTCACACTCAGTTTCTACCTTTTACACTATTGTGACCTATGTAGTTGCAGCAGGAGAGGTGTAACAGAGTGCAGAATGGAGGCAGATGGGTGCATAAGGAAAAGTTCTGAGCATCAAAATAATTTTACCTATATCAGGTAGACTCATCCCCACACATTTACCTCTCTCATAAATCTATGTGTTTGCAGTTGCTTTTATAGACATACATGCTTGTAACTTTACTTTTCAAACCCTGATATGTTAAATTAACAAAATTGGTGTTTACTGTGTGAATTTTAAATACGTGCAGTCTGGGATCTAAAATGCCTTATTCAAAATGCTAATTCTGACTGGTTTACTTAGTTGTGAAAGCTTCAGAATTAACCTTTGCTAACTGTTAGCAAAGGAAACTTTGGCTCTGTTCTCTTTATATTTCATAAGTAACTGTACTCTTATCACAGGTTGAAGCCTTCTCTGCACTTTGTATCGTGGAATCAGGAGGGCTGGAAAACTAGTTTGTGTTCTGTACCTCCTGTGGGCCATACCCATTCCCTTCTAGCTTTAGCAAACAACACCTGTGTGAAACCAACTTTTATGGAACTCAAAGACAGATTCATGAAGCTCTACAAGAAAAAGGTATGGCTCTGTCATAAGTATGTCATCCACAGCCACCAATCATAGCACCTTGGATTACAGGGAAACAAATCTTAGAATCATAGAGGGACTGCTTAAAAGTAATATTCCAAGATTTTTAACTGTGATGTCTATCAAGGAATCATTCTAACAGCTGCTGCTTAAAAAGAACAAATCCCTTATTAACCCATACCCTACTAGGGGATATATTTACTTCTTCAGCCATGAGCCAGTATCCAGTGGATGTGCCTACCATTTTGTTGAGGTCTACCAAAGACAAAATGTGAACAGATTAATATGTAAGAAATCCGTAATACCGTGATTCCACAGATTGTTACTGAAGTTGTTAATTATGTAAGCAGGGGTTGTCAAGGCATGTCTTCAAATCTGCTTTATACAGTTCTTCAGTGCAGGCCAAATAATACTTAGTGAGGCAAATAGATTATGTTATGTGCCAATAAAGGGAGTAACACTGAATTCATTATTCTCATAGGCTCATCTTCACCATTATCTGCAAGTAGACGGGATGGAGCAAGGCTGTTTTTCTGAAGCCATATCATCCTTGTCTGACCTAATAGAAGAGTATAACGAACTGGATGCCACAAAAGGTGGGTTTAGAACAGCCCCATCAAGACTGAAGATAGCTGTGTAAAGAAGAACTTTGTTTTAAAAAAAATAAAATCCCCAAGCATCCAACCACTTCAGTTAACCCAAATGAATTGCAGAGCGCCTACCTATTGTCATTCTAAAGCGAGGCTGGGATAACTGCTTCCACAGCTCTCTGAGGTGTCACATAAAGTGACAGGCCCAGCCTGTAGGAAAGGTTTGAAGGCACTTAATTATGGCAAATATCAGTAAAGTTCTTCCAAACTGTAGAGTAAATCGACATGCCATGTGCTGCAAAGAGAAGAAAGAGAAGTACTAGCAGCCAAAAGGTAATGCTTTTTCCAGACTTTGAGCTTACAGTGAACTGAAAGCAAGCCTTGGTTCGAAGAAAGATCGCTATTGCTAGCTTTTTTCTTTAGTTGTTTTAAAAAAGCAACAAAGAGAAGGAAAACTGCATACTCTTCCAAGATGAAAGCAATCCTCTAATGGAACTTGTTTCTGAAAATTTGCAGACAAGCAGTCATTTTGGAATGCTCCAAGCTATGTTCATAATTTAAAATTTTTTCACTTCATTGTTGTACCTAGCTGTATTAGAGTATTCTGAGCTGATAGTAAAGTTGATGGTTTCAGGGGGGATTTACCAAAATGCATTTTCTTTGACATTTTATATTTGGAGCATTAATTAACATGTTATTTTAATGATTCATGTTTATAAATGGTGAATTGCACTTGATAATGAGATGATATAGCATACCTCTGAGTGAAAAACACACAGTAAAGACTGTTAGGTAAACAAAGTTTATATGTTTAAAGAATGCAAGTAAAATAGATGTTTTAATATTTATAATTACCAAGGTCGGTAGATTTCTATATTACATTATATTAAGAACTTTTGCAGAATGTACAGCTATTTCCTGTTTACTTTCCAACCTTGACTTCTTCAGAACGCAAGGACTGGTGAACTGTTACAAATCAGAGTGGGCCAATGCAATGATCTAAACCTTGAAATCCTTTTAGCAGAGTTTGAATGGGTGAATAAGTAGGCACAGTTTTCAGTGTATGAGTCCAGAAATCATCAATAAAACCTTGTAATAACACTTTTTTGGGGTTTCTTTAAGCATTCCAAATATGCATTTCCTTCAAATTTTGCAGTTCTCTTATCTGTAGCTGTCTTATGTCTTCCTTTACAAAGGACATTGTTTATATTCACAGCAGTAGAGAGATTATCTGCTGTAAAGAGTATTTGGGTCTTGCAATTAATTTATCCTGTTTACAACAGCATTCATGTGTTTTGCCTTTGTTTTGAGTTTGAAGATACATGGTAGAAGATGTTAGTTTGAGAATCAAGAATAATAGATGATGTTACAGGGTCAGTTTTGTTGGGTTTTTTTGTTTGTTTGTTTGCTTTTGTATAGATTAGTCAGACCATCTGTGAATCTAAATGTATTTGTCTTGTTGGACAAGGTGTTATGGTAGGTTACCAAGCAGTCTCACTGTGCTTTCTTGAATTACAAGGAGTTCTCCTTTTGACAGTAGTGTTACACACACAATTCTTGAGAATGTATTTCCATATACTGCAACAGTTAAGTTTAAAAGGATACCTTCTTACGTGGATTTTTCAAATGTGTTTTTTTAAATGAATATTTACATTTATAGTTTGACTACAAACATTGCTGGGGTGACAGATAATGCTGATTCTTCAGGATGTGAATGTGCTTGTCACCCTTGCAGCACGTTACAGTCAGTGGTGTTAATTCATAAAATTTTGAGTTCAGAAAATATATCTCCTGGATCACTGCAAATCCTCTGGCAAACACAAGATGTTATCCACATCATCTTCCACTTGAAGAAGCCTTCATTGGGGCACTCGAACTGGAGAGTGATCATTTTGGACTTATTAGGTACGCAGCATCTCTTGTCCATACACACCCCACAGAAAGTTAACTTGTAGCTTTGTGTAGTTGAACATCCAGAGAAAAATAGTTTCTCTGCTCTAGGGAACTGGAATGTTGGTTGGCATGTTTTTCCTTTTGGAATCTGTAAAACAACAACAAAAAAAAAGCTTATGTTTTTACACACGGAAAACAGACCATGAAAAAAAACTTGTGATGTTTACATAGAAATATGTTGAAAATTACGCCTACTAAAAGCTGTCTTATTTTTCTTTCAGTAAACAAATAAAAATATTTTGGTTGGCCAAGCAGCATGACAGCACTTCGAAATTATACATCTGTAGCTTACTACTAAGAGTTGGCAACTAAAGGTAGAAAAAGGAGAAGTGTTGTTTTATGACTTAAAAGTATTTACTAATACATCCATTTTTCCATTACTTCTGGCATTTTTGTTTTCTACTACCAAGTCATTTTACATAGGTTGCTCTGACAGTAATGCCTCCTATTTATTTCCTTGGAAACTGCAAGAGATGCAAGGAGTAAAATAACACTATATGACAGGAAATTCTCAGCTACAAAACAGTGTTTTCCAGCATAGTCAGCACCATTAGCCATGCATTTTTACCAGTAATGAAGAAGAACCTGCATGCCACACTCATAAAAACCTGCAGCCTGTGGAGGTGGCCCACAGTTACCAGTGATGAAACATACCACCCACTCTGCTGATGCCTCACTGCTCTCACTTCCCCTGTTTGGTTTCCGTAAGTGTTCAGCAAGCATTGATGAATGTCAGTGGGTGCCACTTCTCCCCATGGAGGAATTCAGTGACACACACCTTTGCTTCATATGCACTTATGTATCAGATGCCTTTGTTTCAGACTGCCCCTCTGCTGCCTTCAGTCATACAGCGACAAAGCATAATGGAATATTGACAGGAAGGTTCAACTTCTACTCCCATACCACCAACATCTTTCTCTGATGATGTGGGCCTACATAATCAAATTGGAAGCGTTAATTTTGGAGCAGCCCTCATTTATGAGAAGATACCTTTATTGTCTTCAGGATATTGGTCAGACAAGGCTGGATGAAGCATAATCTCTTCTCTTTTTTCATTTCACACTTCCTGTTTTCATTGGTCACTCTGCTGGATATACCAATGCCACAGGTTCTGGAACACGGTGTCCAAGGAGTTGCCTGCACCAGGCACTTTTTCTTTAAAACTAGTGGTAAGTTTCTGTAAGCTAAAGCAGCAATATATTACTTATGCAGCAAAATAACCCCAAAAGGATTAACTGAATATAAAAAGGATAAGCATTAGGCTTCTGCTCATGCAAGTAAATCTAAAGATGAGGCCTTAAAAAGTTATTTAGACGTCTTAGCACTGAGCTGCCTTTAAAATTTATTGACACTCGTATCCTAGCAAAGGCTATAAAACTGCATGTGCTGTATGGCCCTTGTGTTTAATATGAAGAAAATAGTGTGTGAAGACTTACCTGTGGAATTTTTATAAAATGGCCAGAGTGGAAGAAACATTGATTATTTAAGGCTAAATACAGTTCAAATAGGAGAGTGATGTAACCATTAGTCCCAATTCCTGCTAGACACTGTGAAGACCAGGTTTCATTTAAGAAAAAAAAAAATTGTGTAGAAATTCTTGGTGTCTGTGGAATCTGCATTTAGATGACATCTGCATGTTAGATGACTGGCAGAATTACAAGGATACCTGGAAAGTAGACATCAATTTTAAGATCTCTTTGCAATAAGCAGATTAAAAGCCTGTCCCAGATCTGCAGTAAATAAAGGGAAGTTTAATGTTTGCTTATACTTCATACATTTTCAAAGTATAACCTCTGCACATCCCTAAATATCTAAGTTAGGTCAAAGTTGGACAAGGAAATCCAGAAAACATCAAGAGCAATGAAGAGAAGTCTAGCATTTGTTATCCATGCTAGCAGGGCGGAAACTAAATAAATAAATAAAAAAATATATATATAATATATAATATTATATTATATATTATATATATAATATATTACATTAAATTAAAAAATATTAAAAATATTTATTTTTTATATTTTTATAAATATTAAAAATATTTATATTAAAATAATTATTATATTATATATATATTATATATTATATTATATCGATATTAGCCCATTGAGCCACTGATGCATAAGTTTGTATGGTAATTTGCGTTGCTGTACTGGAAAAGGGAAGGGGGAAGACCTCATTTTGAAGCAAAATTTCAAGAAGATTTCTTCAGAGGAAGATAGGGTGAGGAAGATGTTTATTATAAACGCTTATTTTAGGTTTTTTTGCACATTTGCCATTCCTCATTTTAACTTTATCTACTATTTCCAAATACTCTCATTGGCCCAAAGAGTCACTGGGCATTGGCTCCCCATGCTCCTACCTAATGTGGGTCAGATGTTTTGATTACCATTGTTGTCAATGCGTGTCCCTCTCTGGTCGGATTAGTAACACTCTCTAGAAATGCACTACATTTGAAATTGGTTACCTTTACTGAGTGTGGTTTTACTCACTGCATCAAATAGATTTCTCAACAAGGTCTCTGACACTAGGTATTATAATTTTGCAACAAAGATGTGCTTCCTTTTTCATTTTTGCAAACTTGTATAAGCGCTGTTAACATTTTAGAAATTGTCCAAACTGAACTTCAGATTGTATCTTCAGTCTGTTTATCTGCAGATTGGCTCATGTGCTCCTGCGGTATTTGGGGATTTTTTTGATAAGCTTTTTTGGTAAGCTTTGTGATCCCTTTTTATTGTATTGATCCATGTTGGTGATTCAGGCCATAATTTCCCCATAATTTAAGTTGCCACCAAATAAGCAGCTCGGCTTTCTGATACCCTTATTAGTTGAAATGAGGATGTATTTTGTAATGTAAATATGCACATGCAAAGGGAAGGAGAGAACAGAAGGCCTGAGAGGAGGATCCAGACATAGGGAAGGGCTGGGAAAGCTGCTTCTGTCAGTGGTCCTTTCCCAAAGTAAATGAGAGCACTGCAACAGAACAGGAACAAGGTTGAAGGGAGGATCAGCTGACCATAGCAGAACTGTGTGGATAAAATGTGTGGTTTTGATCACACTGCATAGAGAAGAAATTGGAGGGAAGGTTGTCCTCACAGTGAGTGAAGTTTTGTGAGTTGAGGAAAGCTGCTAAGGCAGTCTATAATTTCCTGCTTTCCACTTGAAAATGGAGCCTGCAATGTTTTAATCTGTGTCTTGAAAACCAAGATTCTCTACCACCACAAAGGGAGAGAAAACAAGAAAGTTCCTGGGCTGCTAAATGGCTGTCCATCAGCAGCCCTAATAAGGCAGATCTGACAAGCAGTGAAATTCTGCAGAAAGATGGGCTAAAGGTAGCAGTGGGTATTCCCTATCAACAGAAGAAAAAAGGCTTTTTGCTTCTCATGTGCACTGGGACCTGGGGGTGTTGGTTGATGCTCAGCTGAACATGAGCCAACAGTGTGCCCAGGTGGCCAAGAGGGCCAACGGCATCCTGGCCTGCATTAGAAATAGCATGGCCAGCAGGAGCAGGGAGGTGATCATCGTCCTGTACTCAGCTCTGGTGAGGCCGCACCTTGAGTACTGTGTGCAGTTTTGGGCCCCTCACTACAAGAAAGACATTGAGGCCCTGGAACATGTCCAGAGAAGGGCAACGAAACTGGTGAGGGGTCTGGAGCACAAACCTTATGAGGAGCGGCTGAGGGAGCTGGGATTGTTCAGTCTGAAGAAGAGGAGGCTCAGGGGAGACCTCATTGCACTCTACAACTTCCTGAAGGGAGGTTGTGGTGCAAAAGGGTCTGGCCTCTTCTTCCAGGCAAATAGTAGGACCCGAGGAAACGGGCAGAAGTTATACCAGAGGAGGTTTAGGTTGGATATTAGGAGAAACTTCTTCTCTCAAAGGGTGGTCAGGCACTGGAATGGCTGCCCAGGGAGGTGGTGGAGTCGCCGTCCCTGGCAGTGTTCAAGAGGCGCCTGGATGAGGAGCTACGAGACATGATTTAGTAGCTTGTGATACTAATAGGAATGAGAGGGTGGTTGGACTAGATGATCTTGCAGGTCATTTCCAACCTTGTGATTCTGTGTAATCTGTGAGTTTAGAGAAAAGAATCTGTGACTTGAGAGTAAAAGGGGTAATTGGGACAGAGCAGACACCCTGGCAATGGCCATGATGGAGAACAGGAGTAGCCAGCATGCAGTCATCCTGGCTGCTGCAGCAAGGACACTGAAGGGAGCAAGGCTCGTGCTCAGAGTTGTTACCAGCATAGCAGGGCACACCTGACATCCGCCTGTAGTTGATTGATTGAAGGTGCTTCTGTCCTGGGCCACACACCCTCTGTCCAGTCTTCTTCCTACCCGTGCCACTGGAGCAGGGACTTGATGCTAATTTTGGTGTGAATACAGGAGTACATCCGATCGCACCACTGATACACAGGCACTTGTAAAGTGGGTTAGGCTGGAAAGTCTGCCCATTGAGATAGTAAATGCCATTGAGCTCACACCCTACAGCAACCAGATCTGCAAATGGTAAACGAAAGTTACTAACACAGTGGGAGCACTGGATTCTTGCTCACTAAGTGCTTGATGCAATCATCCTTTCCTGCATTCTTAGCTTCAAATTCTTCCCAGCCCATGCACGATTTTGTTTGACCTCAATGATAACTACAGCTGTCCTGCTTTAAATTAGCCTTGTAACATATCAGCAAATAGCAAACTTATGCACAGTGAGCTGGTAGGCAGAAAGCATAAAGACAGTCCCCTGCCCCGTTCTCAGATTCCCCAACCAGTGTGCATTTGTATAAATCACACAGCACAGAGCTGCACGGCTCCACCAAGCCGGGCTCCCACCCTCCTGGATTTGCAGAATAGAACGTGAAAGAACGACTTACATGCACACACGCCTGTTTCATACCTAGGCTCATCCTGCGAGTAGTCGCAGTAGAGACCCTTGTGGGGATCACAGATGTCCACCTCATTGCAGACTTCTCCAGCCTGCTTGGCGCAGGCCTTGCAGCAGCCACAGCCGTCTTTCAGCAGGCTCACCCCGGGGCTGCAGGTGGGCACTGGTGGGCACTGGCAGGGCCAGTGGCACAGCTCGGTGCGTGGCTGAGCCTCACTGCTCTCTGGACGTTTTTCACCAGGCCTCGGCTGTGAGCGGTGGGCTTGCGCCCTGCAGAGAAACTTACATACAGTGGGATGGTTTGAGAGCTGCGTGTTCTCTGCATGGCTGGTACAGCATAAAATAAAGCTCCTAAGGTCACAGGATCCAGAAAAGTGAGAAGCTACAAGACTTTGGTAGGGGGAACCAGTTCCAACAGTGAGCGTGGCCTACTGC